CTTGGTTGCCTTGATATGCATGAGCTACCAACCTGTTTTGTCTGTTGTTAATAGGTTTCGGGCTAAAAGTCGACGAATGCTGTCTGCTTTAAACCGTCAGATCAGCTCCCAAAGTAAAGCTTCAGAGGGAGCCAAAACAACAAAACTGATTTCAAAGGGAGTCAGTGAAGATAGATTAACCAAAGAAGATCGCCATAACTTAATGGAACTTCAACAACAGGTTGCATTACAAAACAAAAGGTATGGTACAAAGATCTCAATGTACACAGTTTGCAGCATGTCTTGTCTTTTTGCTTTGCTACCTTTTTTTAGTTGTGTTCAACCGTTGATCAATCACAGTTGAGACCTACTTTGCATTGTGACGTCAAATTCTGGCTCTGTAATGTAATGTATTTCTTTATAACTGGTTAAACTTAATGGAAGTTAATTCAGTCACTTTCTTCCTTTACCAAAAACAGAGGGACGTCCATCAAGTTTAACTTCAGTTAGAAATTGTGTACAAAGCCAAATGGAGTCATTGCTCAAAACTCTGAACAAAAGAAATCTCCAGAAGAATGCACTGTCCTTGTACAGTTTAACCATACAATTGTTGCAGGATATGTAAAGGGCCATGGTGTTTTGTTTACCTGAGGGTGCCATTTTCCCCCAGGGTGTACAGAACCTGTGGACCCAATCACAATAGGGGTCAGTTGTTTTGTTGTACCACAGTAATAGATTTTTATGAATGCAAGAGAACAAAATAAAGTACATTTAACGTCACAGTGCACTTCATTTCACTGAAAATATCTTCACCAACAAAGTGTTCAGTAGTTGAACAAATTCAACTAAATGGCATAATTGGTACAGAGTATCAGCTTTGTCTCCACATTTCTGGTGACATTTTCCAGACAGCGTTCTGTCTTTGTTGGCAGCTCATTCTGTCATGGATATCATTAAAAACTGGGGGGTTCCCCTGTCATGCCTATGGTGATGCAGAATTTGGAACCACCAATTGCACATGCATAGGATGGTTCCATATTTTTCTTAATGCTGATGCTTTCCTACACAAAATCAAATTTCTGATCTCGTTTTAGGAATGAATTCTTAAAAACAAAGCAGCTGTCATCTGTTGACATTATTACTGTAAAGTTACCGCGAAATTGGCCTAGTTAAAAATATGAATGGAGGATGCAAACAAAAATGGCAGGGTGGAAGAAATAGTGCTTAACTGTTTCCCACAGCACATCTCATGTACTAGAATGTGATGAAATAACGCAGTACCAGCGCTGCTGTACAACCTCATACCCAAGGTCACTCCAATACAATATTGTGGAAATGACACCTTCAACTGCAGGTCATTTTTAAAAAGGAAGAATTGTTTTTCCTGTTGTAACTAAAGAAAGACTTGGCATGTCAACTTACGGTGGTTCTTATAGGTTGGTCTCGCATCTTCCCGAAACCTAATAATTCATGGGTTTAAGAAGGGCTTGGCAAGGTATATGTATTTGTGGTTGTTAAACTCATTCTTGGCTCAAGTCAGAGTTACACATGCTCACACCTACAGTGTACATGTATGTTAATGTACATGTAGTAGATGTCTGTGGCAAAAGAAAAAAGCCCTCTTCTCCTAACAAGTCAGTTTCAGGTGGACTTACCTTTGTCACATGTGAACACAAAAAATGTTTTATTAGTAATTCTGAGTTTCTCACCAGGCAATGTTTCTGAAATTCAGATGTTTGGCATGGTGCAAATGATTAAAATATGTCTTGGTATCATTTTTCTTCTCCCTCTGAATAGGGATAAAGTTGATCAACTGTCACAAAGCAACATGCAAGCAGTTTCTGGCAACCTGATGTCAGCATACAGGGATTACAGAGATGAGATGTCCGAATTAATCGAGTCAAGCACTGACGTAGAGAGACATCCAAATGGTTTGTCAGTTGGTATAAATACATACACACTGCTTGAAGGAAAAGGCTAGTTGGATTTTTTCCTCAAAGATCCTCAGAAATACAGTTAACTTAGGTGTGAAAGAAACAGCAGACAAATAAACCTCTATTGGTTTGGCAGTTTTTTGGGGTTGCTAGGTAAAATGGATTGAAAAACATTGAACTATTCCGAATACCCAGGGTTGTCAGACTGCAATATCTCATGCTAAAAGTTTGCCCACCCCTCTTCAGCGTAAGATAAAATGTACTTAAAAATGAATAATCTCCAAAAAGCCTCTTTCATCATAAAATACAGGCATTTCTCTAAGCTGCAAAAGCAAAGCTAAACATAACACTTGCTTTTTTATCTTAAATTAAGGGTTCAAAACACTCACCTAAAATCCATTATTGTCGCCACAAAATATACTCCTTTTGACCAAAAAGGGCATATAATCATATCCATTCTTTTTTTATATATGTACACCTCAAATGAGAGGGCTCTGTTGTCTTTAATTTGATACCACAATGAGGTAGTGATTCTTGAGAGATTCCATTTTTTAACCTTATCCACATGTTCACATTGGCCTGGAATTGGCCATTTATATTTCTGCATCTGGCTGACTCATGCCTGCTTTTTTGCATCAAGACTGAGTCTGAAAATACTGGTGGAGGTGGTGACATCACTTGCTAACGTTAGAGATATTGTGAAAAATTACTTTGATACAAAACTCCTTATGCTGCATTTATACCGTGACCTTTTTATCCACCAGATGGTGAAGGACGTCATAATGTGGATGGGCAGAATGCAAGCAAATTTGCACCTCATTGCTTGGTTGGCAAGCCTGAACATCATCCAGTCAAACAACTAGCTTCAGCAGCCTCTCATGCTGAGCAAGCACATCTGAACATTCACTCAAAGCGTCAGGTATCGCCTGCAAAACCTTCAGGAATAAGTGATGTATACAAAGAGCAAGGCAAGAGTTTGGATGAACAAGCAAAATCAAACATTCAGATATCAATGTCAGAAATGTATGTTCATCCTCCTGGTGCCAGAACCCATTTGCACTCTGCTCCTCAACCTGTATACAGTTATCATTACTCTAATAATGTGACTGCTCACACTGGTGAAGTAGAACCACCAGGTTTAATTCAGTCAATTGACAGCCATAAGACACTGAAAAAAGACAGCACAAGTAGCTGGGACATGCCAGATGGACCACCGCAAGAGCTACCTGGATACAGCCAAGGTTTGGTCAAGCGTACTGTTGGAGCAGGAAAACCTACCATCAAATCACCAGTAGCTAACACATGGAATTCAAACAGCAATAAACTGCACAAGGTACGTCAAAAATGCCAGGATTACAACAAATTCTGTAGTGCTATGATTGATAGATTTGATTTATTTGTCGTGTTGAAAAGTACAGGAAACTTGTGTTCCCGATGTACAAGTGGAAAACACACACATTAAAAATCTTTAAACGAATGTTATAAAATTGGAATTCCTCAACACTCTACATGTATGTACATACACATGACAAACTCCTGAAAACACACATAGAGTACTGGTGAATAAAACCCCAATTTGATCTCAATAAAATTGTAATTATCGACAGAAACTAGAATTAGATTTGCTGGTGGCACGAGGTCGGAAAGAGTTCCTAAAACGATTAGTTTTTGTAGCTATTTGACGCTCCCTTCCAGATTGATTCAAAATCATGCTATTTTGAATTATTCAAAATCATGCTAATGCAATATCGTCTGCATATTTGTTCAAAGCACAGGCGTCACTTCCTAAGGTATAGTCACTGGTATACAAAGAAAATAAGATTGGCAACAAAACACACCCTGGTGGAACTCCCACGTTTGTAACAACTGTATCAGATTACATAATTTCTATCAATAGAAAGGTGGCTACAACTTGTACACTTCACAGCATTTTCTTTCAGAAAGAAACTATGAATAGGTTGCATGAGGATATTTCGCATGGAAAGCCATGCATATCGTCAAATTGATGTTCCAGTTTTTCTTATTCAACTTTATTATTTTATTTTTTTTACTTAAATTTATTTAATTAAATTATTTTTATACATATTGTGAAGTGTTTTGAGACTTACTGTGTAAAACGCTATATGAAATATTTACAATTAGGTCATTTGGGAGACATTTTGTGGTAAATTTTCCAGCATTAGGGAGACATTGGCTTTTAGGGAGACATTTCAGTGTCTCCCTATTTTCAAACTACCAGAAGGAGGTCGAATTTTACTGTCCATAATGAGAGATGATAGTTTAGGGCCGAAAATGAAAACATACCGTACAAAGTTTGGTTCAGATCAGATTAGGGAATATTGAATTATGGGACAGTAAAGTTGGAAAATTTTGTGCACGTTCTTATGGGAATGCCTCCCTAATGACCCATTAGCGGTAATTATAAAATAAATTATTACTATTTGGTTTCTCACTAGAACGTGCCTTGCAAGGTAAGTCAAGTTTTCAACAATGTCACTACAACCAACAAAAATACCTTTTTGGTTAAGCAGTTGTTCCGTAAAGCAATTTTCGGTTTCCAAAATAGCTTGGCCCTGCCCATTGAAACTCAAAGCAGTCTGGTGTTTGAATGTGCCTGGCTGAGGATATTTGGCAAAGCTAACACCATGCACATTGAAAAAGAGCAATTACAACATTTAAGAGCTTTGTGTATATTTCAGTCACAAATACAGACTGATTGGGCAATATTTATTTTATTATGTCACAGACTTTTGCTTGGAAAGCAAAGCCATGCATTTTGTCGAATTGATCTGTTTTTCCTTATCCACCTTTTATTATTTTTACTCAAATTGATGTTTATTGAATTATTTTTTAATGAGTTCGTTTGCATGTAGTGATTTTTCTTACATGGAGATGCACTGTTTGTTAAACATTGTACTCTTCTTCAGCATATGAAAACAATTTGAAATCCTGTTCTTGATCATTCCACATCACGAGTTGGTTACAACTTTGGGAGGACATACTGCTGGACAGGCATGTAAAGAACGGGATGAATGGACTCACTGCGGGCTTTAAAGTCCCAAGGATTGTGAAACCTTCAGTTTCTCTTGTAAAGCCTCTCTAATGTACATACAGTGTATCTTTTGCTGTTTCAGACACCCAACACCCATGTTTCTTGATTAATCTGTCAGGGATTCCTTTCTTGATGGCCTGAGTTGCACAGCTAGAGCGAAGGCTATGAATATTGTAACTTGCCACATCAACTTACTGTATCTTTGATGGCCTCAAGAAACAGCTTTCTCATGCGAGTATAAGAGATCGGTTTAGCCTCCAATTTAAGACTGAATCCATTTTTGTTCTTAGAGACTGAGCGGAATATAAACTCTTGTGAATTGGTGGATAGGTTGAATATTAAAGTGTAGGTTTTTTTTCTAAAATACCCACCGGGCAAGCAGCCCCACCTGTCCTACTTATAACAACCCATCATGTTCCTTGTCTGTGTTCATCTGTTTTGCTTTTCTCTATAAGTATAGAAGCATGGGTGTTGAAAATTACGATGTCGGAATAATGCAAGTTTTGTAACTCATTAAATCTGAGAAAGGCAGCATACCCAACCGTGATAATTGCCAGAGTTCTGAGCTCATATGGATTGGCTGTTTCTAAAGGGCATTTCTCGCTGATCTTTTTTATCATGTCTGGCGTTATAAGTTCCTTCTTTTCGGAGCTTTTCTAAGTGTTCTTTTAGCTGCTTCAAGGACCAACTTGGGAAGGCTATGATTCCACACAATGCACCCAGGCGTTACTGTAAAATGTATAAGTAGATCAAAATGGTTAGAAATGACATCTGAAACTGCCCAGTCATCGTGATTGATAACATGACTTAACAAATCTGCTCTTTGATTTTTAGAGCGTGGAATCCATTCCATTTTCAAACTAATTCCGTGTTTGACACTTGTTTTGTAAATGAGATGGACTATTTCTTGAAGATCTGGTTTTCCACTGCCAAATTCTGTTGACATTCTGACTATCTATAAACCATTTAACATTGCTACCTACAAGAACTGGAACGAAACTTTCCAGAACTATCTGAACTGCTTTCAGTTCTCTCCATGTGCTACTTTTTCATTTTTCCTCTGGGTTCCAAACCCCATGTGCAACAACCTCATTTCCGCCTATTTCCACTGTATAGCCTGCTCCGCCAACATCACCGGCATCCGAATAAACCACTCTGTGATATATTACATCATCTTTGATAGGCACAGGTTTTAGATTGGAAATATTCCATCCCCAAAATGACAATTCTTGTTTGGACTCTTGGGACAGTTTTATATCACTGTGCCATGATGGTGCCGATTGTATGTCACAAAGCATGGATCTGGTCATAAGACACGTTATGTTTCCTAATGCGGTTGTTAAGGCTATTATTTGCCCGACCATGCTGGCTAATGCTTTATTCCTTAACTTTTGAAAACTTGGGCATTTCTGAGATTCCGTAGCAATACATTCTCCTTTGGACTTCATGGGCCAAACAAAACTATTTTCTGTATCTGTATGGACACCAAACCATTTACACAATAGTTTTGGCTGGCACTGATTTTTGTTTGCTTATAATAATTCCCGCGTCTTTTAAGTCTTTGAAAATAGCGTCAGATTGGAACTGTGCTTCTGCTGGGGGGAAGCCATGCCCAAATCATCATCAAGATAAACTACCATTTCTTTTCCTTCGGATCTCCATTTTTTGACCAATTCTCTAATGATTTTCGTGAAAATGTCGGTGCAGATGTAAGCCCAAAAGGTAAGACAAGAAACTTATAAAACACATTGTTTCCTTTTAGAAGAAACCAAGGTACTGTGAGTGGTCCGGAAAAATGTTGACATGATGATACCCGCTTTTTAAGTCGAACAAAAAAAATTTTCCTTGTTTTATGTAATACGAGCCATTTTGAGATCTGCAAATTTAACGGACTGTTTCCAAACGTGGTGATTAACTTCATGTTAATCGAGAATGAGGCTCTTTTTACCGTTTTGTTGCACTGACACCGAAAGTGGGCTTACAACCAAAAGTTTTTTGTTGCATCTCACAATGCTACCTACTTTCTGTAGTTGGGCTATTGATTCTGTCAAAGGTAGAGTGATTCAGGGACGACCAGTTGTTGCGTAAGAACATGGCTGGCGGCAAGATGTGAAATGGTATGGTATACCCAAGCCTTAGAGTATCTACAATAAACTGATAATTGCAATTCTGCTGCCAAAATTCCAAATGACTTTTAAGTCTGCCTTTAAACGTTAATTTAACCTGGTCAATACATTTTCTCTGTTCAAATTCAAAGCTTTCTTTGACCAACAAAGAAACCAAATACCCATTTTTAAACACTGCCAGTTTATGTGATTAGGACTTCTCTGGCTGACGTGATGCATGTGCTTGTGGCTGGCGCCGATGTTTCAGCCGATGGTGGGGTGAATGAATGGGCATTCCTTTCTCCAGTGTCCGATGGACCCACAGGCAAAGCACGTTCGAGGCCTTGTCCGTGCTTGGAATCTTGTGTTGGCATCCATGATGGTGGGTGTAGCTTGATGGGAACTGGTAAAGGGACTGCCGTAGGGACAAAACAATTGCTACCCCTGGCAGATTTCAGTCTCTTAATCTTGCTTCAGCTCTGTTAATTTCTTGTCATTGTCAGAATCAGACGCCAACTCATTGGTCTCATACTCCTTGACAGTTTGCCATCCACCTTCGCTGGAATCTGCGAGGCGTATTAGCTTCTGTCTGGCCGACATTTTTTGTGTGGCCGAGTTAATGTTGGTGCCTACCGAGGCCAAATCTCCCACTATGCATTCTTCCAAGGCCTTGACAAGGATTTCCAGGACTTCACGATTAAACTCGAATTGTTTCTGTTTTCTTTAAGTTTCCACTCGATAGATATCGCTGTCTTGATTTTTTCGTTTATAGCTCTAACTGATTCTCGGTGATAGTTGATCAGTTCTTGTCGTAAGAGTGCACACGGGTCTTTAACCCTAACCCCCTAGGGTGTATGTAAAATCGTACTGAAATTGGGGAATTTGGGACTGTTAGGGTTAAATGACCACTGCATTTCACTTCTTGTAGCTTGAAGCGTGTGGAGTATGGGTTCAGTGGATTCAGTGCCTTCCATGGTTGACTGATTTGTGAACAATATGTCATGCTGGGTGCCTGTCGGTAATGCAGACAAATTCCTGTCCAGACTACACTTTTATAGCCATTTATTACAATACATTACTCCGTGTATCACTCACGGAGTGATATCCCACAATCAAGAACTTAATTTCATTCTAATTCGCCACTCAACTGGACGCAATTACATTTTTGTTGGGTGC